TTTGTGAAATATCTCTGTACATAGATGGCTCTGTTAGTCCTGATTTCACCATTCCTTGAATTGGCGGGAAAAAACGTATTCTTACTAGTGCCATTAATATAGATGGTGTTATTTTTAACAGCAAATTAGGATAACGTTAAATATTTTCGTAAATCGATGAAAAGGGTAAACAGGCGAGACAGGCAGTATTCGTAATTGGCTCATTGGCTACTTAGTACAAGTATAGCCATCTATGTGCAAAAACAATCAAACAAGTCGACTCACAGTGGTCATGGCATGTACACACATGCCATCCCCAGCAGCAACAGGTTAACAATAACAATAACAACAATGATAATAAAAATTAATATGAAAATTATAAAAATTATAACAATAATAACTATTCTGGGTATTTTTTGTCTGTTCATAACAATTGCACACTACTCCTGAAATTATAGTCCATCTTACTAGATTTGAGGATACTTCATTTTTCTCTCTCACACACACATGAATAAATCTATTAGAATCCTATACTAACTCTATTATTATCATTATCAATATCATGATTCTTATCGTCATCATCATCATCATCATTATTAATATTAATATTAATATTATTATTATTATCATTAGTACTATTACTATTACTAGCAATATTATTGGTAGTAATACTACAATTGTTGTTATTATCATTATCATTATTATATTACAATTATTACTAGTATTACAATTATTGTTCTTGTTGTTGTTTTTATTTATTATTATCATCATTATCATCAATTTTGTTATTTTTATTATTATTATTATTATTATTATTATTATTATTATTATTATTATTATTATTATTATTATTATTATTATTATTATTATTATTATCATCATTATCATTATCATTATCATTATCATTATCATTATCATTATCATTATCATTATCATTATCATTATCATTATCATTATTATTATTATCATCATTATCATTATCATTATCATTATCATTATCATTATCATTATCATCATCATTATAATCATTATCATTAAGGCACCCCAGGAAAGTTTTGGATCGCACAGCAATATCTGTTGGTTCCCAGGAATTCTCCTAAACATGTTGGCTGGAGTATTAGGGCCTTAATCTCTGTGGGGTGTGGTCAATTCATAACAATCTTTCTGTACCTTTAGTTCTATAGTCATTCTATTTTAGTCTGTTTTACCCCATAACTTCCCTGATACACTTCATGGCATCCCCTAATATTAGAACTATCAAATCAAGATTCTTAGCTATAACTGGTATTGCACAAATACCATGAAGCAAAGAAAATTGGAATGCAGGTGACTTTTTCACCGCATTTACAAAGAGTAAATGAAAAATGTATCAATATTTTTTTTTGTTTCACACATCCATCCAATCTTACAATTATCCTTCCTTCTTTTAATTATCAACACAGTAATATGCCAGAATTTCTTGTCTTTTTCCACTGCAAATTATATAATCGAAATTATTAGTAATGTTTATGTAGAGTCCATACCCTTCTGAGATTAAGTTCTATTGCTCTACCTTCACTAGGAAATCCACAAACATATCTGTATAAACCATAAAGCCTCCTAACCCAGAGGCTTTGCCCCAGACTCCCATCCAATTGCCATATCTCCCAATCAAGGTCTCCGTCTCGGACCCCCACTCGACCTCTGTGGACCGGCGCCCCACATGGCATTTATCGCAAACTATCTTCTTCAATTCTAACATTATTTTGTGCCAACACAGCTGGTTTCATGGATTAATGAGTGTATTTTTTCTTTGATTATCATAGTGCCATCACATTTTTCTGCAAATACTAAAGTATTATGTATTGCACTACTTTCTTATTAACTTGTGACAGGAGTACCATAGATGAAGTGTCTTATTTTATATAATTTTGTCCAATACAGGCAAATTTCACATTATACTACATGGCTGTGGGAAACTGAAGCTAAATGCTTGTATTTTCCATGACTAACAGCAATTAAGAAGACATGGAGGGTCCTGAGAAAAAGAGCCAAACAAGCAATTAAAACAATAACAAAGTCTAACTCAAAGGAACTTCCATATAATCTCGTGAAGCTGCCTTACTGCCTCTCTAATAACCCTATTTTTATTGTACGAGGAGCGACAGCAGCCAGGATATCCCATAAACAATTCTCACGATCCAAAACTGCCTGCAAGGAATCCTAGAAAAACCCCTCCCGAAGGAGGAAAGGGAGCTCCCACCTGAGGTGTTCAAGGGAGTGCGGGTTCTTGTTCTTCCAGAGCCCTCCTCCGAACCATCCCCTTCCCTTGAGCATTCTTGTGGCTCAGGAGTGGCCCATGCCTCTCTTCCACGTCCTCTGGAGAGAAACCGAAAGGAAAAGCCACAGCCAACCACCGTATACCTCACACCTGTGTCAACAAACAACAGAGCCACCATGAAGGTTGTCGCCCGTCAGCTGAGGGAGAGCCACGGGAGGCGCCGCGGTCAGCTCGGGGGCCGCCAGGTTCAAAAGGGGACGGAGGGACAGCAGGAGGAAGGGAGAGGCAGAGAAAGAGGAAGAGGGAAGAGAGAGAGAGAGGACGAGGGAGAGGGAGATGTAGAGTTTGAGGGAGAGGATAAACAAGTTGAATGGAGGACACCAACAGTTAAACTAAAAAGAAGGGCGCAAGCTAGAGAGCTATTAAAGAAAGGAATGGGGCGCATTCTGCATAATAGTTGCTTTCGTGTATATATTATACCGGTGCATATTTGGTATTGCCATGATGGACAACGTGGTTGTTTGTTTTGTTGTGCATCAGTTTTGACCATACGTTTCCATGCCCTGTACGGGCAGTCTCTACCAAGGTTATATAAGTACTTTGTTTCTACTGCATACTCGGACGACTGGCAGGCAAACACACGCGCACACACACACACACACACACACACACACACACACACACACACACACACACACACACACACACACACACACACACACACACACACACACACACATATTATATATATATATATATATATATATATATATATATATATATATATATACATATACATTTGTTGACACACATACACGCACACACACACACACACACACACACACACACACACACACACACACACACACACACACACACACACACACACGCACACACATATTATATATATATATATATATATATATATATATATATATATATATATATATACATATACATTTGTTGACACACATACACGCACACACACACACACACACACACACACACACACACACACACACACACACACACACACACACATACACACACACACACACACACACACACATATATATATATATATATATATATATATATATATATATATATATATATATATAAATATATAATATATATATATAGACATGTATATATATATATATATATATATGTATATTTGTTTACACACACACACACACACACACACACACACACACACACACACACACATATATATATATATATATATATATGTATATATATATATATATATATATATATATATATATTTGTTTACACACACACACACGTGATATATATATATATATATATATATATATATATATATATATATATATATATATATACATATATATGTGTGTGTGTATGTATGTATACACACACATACTCGCACATACACATACACACACACGTGTGTGTGTGTATGTGTGTGTACATACAAATATACATTTTTTACACACACACACACACACACACATATATATATGTGTGTGTGTGTGTGTGTGTGTGTGTGTGTGTGTGTGTGTGTGTGTGTGTGTGTGTGTGTGTGTGTGTGTGTGTGTGTGGGCTGAGGAACCCGTCTTCGTGCAATATTGCAGCATACAACTCCAAAACGAAATGTATACCTATTAGTCTGCCGCCTTAATGAGCTTGCTTACCTGGCCTGGGCTGTTTCTCCCCATACATAAATAAAAAATAATGTCTGCGGGTTGTTTTTGGGGCCCAATTTTATTCTTTTATCATACTTACTCTCCTTTATTAAGTCTTTTACTTGCTTTTAAGTATACGAACCAGGTATGTTACTTGTACTATAGATGTGATCAGCGGATTACCACATGAAACAAGTGGCCGCACTGATTTGCGTTTCGCTAAACAATCGCGACTGCATGTTTCACACATACTGTGTGTACACGGTAAATAAATTCGTCTGCTCCGAGATACCGACGTGTTTCTTTCTCCTCCCAAGGAACTTAGTGACATACCACAACCGTCACAGTTTCATACTTTAGAAGATAAGTAGTTGGCTGCTCATTCTTATACATATATATATTTTACGCTGTATGCCTGTTCTTAAACGCTTCACGAACCAAATGTATATTTTGCAAGTGTCTCCTTCAATAATATGTTGTCCACACAAAGAGTTTCAGCTGACCAACTTAGTGTTTTAATTCATATTCTTAGTCATTTCGTTTACGTTTTATATCTTCGGTGACATTTCACATGATTTTGCTTACGCGTTTTATTGCTTTGGCTTTGTTTTTATTCCATTTTACCTTCACTTTATGGCCAGGCTTTCATTTCGCCTTTAACTTAATAGATACTGTGGACTACGGGTTTTATGATCGAACTGGCTAGGTATTACCGCCACGCTACGTTCGTTCACGTATTACCAAGGGGAACTCAGAATCTGCCAGTTCTGTAACGCATGAGCACGAAGCTCACTTGATATCAGAACCTTTCACGGGACCATGCTAATGAATTTATACGTTGCACTACTGTAACCTTAAAGTGTTAAACATGGGAATAAATACTGCAGGAATCGCATGAGAGAGACGGTATACCTCTCACAATTGGTGGATAGCGGCGAGATAAGAGTATCTTACAGTTCGCCATACGCCCTTGCAATAATGAATATATATATATAATGGCATACTTTCAACCATATTTGATTTTTTTTGTTTGCGCTTGCTGAGTGTTGGGTGACCACACAGCAGTGACCACTACAGTACAGTCTGCCTGACCTGCGGCAGAGACACTGTATGTTGGTCTGTTTTTGTTGTACTACAGTTCTCATATTTAGACAATGCCGCCCAAACCAAAAAAAATTTCAGGTGTTGAATCACAGGTTGGTAATAAGCCACAGGGTGCTGGCGTACTACAAGTTTTGGATGAGGTTACTCGTGTTGCTTTACCGGAGGTAGGCGACGATAATGCCGAAATTTCCCCAAATCTCTCGATGCATGAGGAGATTATGAACATGTTGCATTGTATGAGAACAGAGTTGAGAGAAGTGAAGAATTAAAATGATAGTTTGGAAGTGGAGCTAAGAGAAATGAGAAGTAGGAGTGAGAGGTTAGACAGGAAGCTTTGTGAGAAAGAGTTGAAAGAGTACGGAAGAGCGAGTGTTGTAGGACAGGAAAGTGAAATTGATGTGAACATAAGGAGTGAAAGTTTGTTAGAGGAACATAGGAAACAGAGATGTTCATTCGATCAGGCGCCTCCACCTCAGATTCCATTGATTGCGCAAGAGTTACCCCATGATAGGCCGGTTCATCTACCGCATTTACATCAGCCACAGCATCCTAATGATGCCATGCCACCAAGATTCATCCCTACACCTGCTCCATTACCCACGTTCCCTAATGTTGACTATGCTGTAAGTCCTCCCGCTTATATAGTTAACAGGGACCCCATTCCGATGTTTCGCGGTGAAACCGGCAAATAACCCTCTAATGAGAAACCAGGAGCTTGAAACCTGGATCAGAGCCATTGAAAACATGACTCGGCCCGCAACAGACAAGGCACTTCTCAGAACTGTCAAGGCTCACTGCAGGGGCAATGCAGATCTTATTGTCAATGGTCAGGCTTTTGATGTATTTATAACTTGGGTGTCCTTTAAAGCTGCATTAAGTAGGAAGTTTCGGGGAATATCCTGCTCGTCAGTCTAGATTATTTTACTTCTCTTGAGACACATATATACCAGGGTTATCGTGATCACCCAGAACCTATTGGCAATCCTGAACAGCTCATACGTCGCAAGTTCCTTCAGGCCGTCCCAAACTGAGAGACTTTTTAACTATCAAAGAGGACGAGCCCCCATCAATAATAGCAGAGTTTGCTCAGCGAATTTATAATACTAGAGTGGGCATCTGTCAGTGTGACACTAGCTCTTCTCAGACTGAACCCACCCCAGCTAGGCAGCAGCAGTCTCGGCGGTACGTAAATGTCACACACACACACCTAAATGGTGCGAGTTTCACAAACTGAGTACTCACAGCACACATGAATTTCGTGCGGCTAATAATGCTACTGCATGTTTCAACTGTAGGCAGCAAGAGCACAGAGCAGCCAAATGTCCCTTTCCTGAACGCCGGCACCGACCAACCCCAGTCGACGTCGGATACTCTCGAGGGGCAATCAATCCTGAGAACCCCAGCAGACCCATTCAGTTACCAATCAGGGAGACCAATTGTGCCAATTAATGTCAGTGGCTCCCCTGTATTAGCATTTGTAGATACTGGTCAGAAGTTTCCATTGTAAAGCCTTTGCAAAGGATGTGTGGATATAGGAAATACCCAACTAGTAAGACTATATTAGGAGTATCAGGGATCCCAGAAGAAGCCTCGTGCGAGGTAAAAGTTAGATTTCAAATTTCTCCCAGCATCATAATTACTTATAGGCTTCTTTGTGTAGAGAATTTAACTTTTCCAGGTGACAGTTTCCTTGTTAGGGCGTGTCAGTTTCACACTTGCTCATCATACCAACTCTCCTTCAGCTTATGTCACCATTAACAAGTGTCACGTGCCAGTACACTTCACAGACACACAGTTGCTGCATTTAAGTCTTGTTTCAGCGCCAGACGTGTTCACCACAGAGCAAGATGCTTCCGCCGCTAAGTGTACAGCCTACACTATGAACACAGCCATTGTAAACAAGACTTGTCACATTCAAAAAGATCTGGCAGACGCTTTCTCAGTTAATTCCCGTCATGCTCATGTTTACAGAACCACGTCAATTCCGGGTAAAGCTGCCAAATTTGTTAGATGTAAAGTCTCTAGGGATGTTAAAGGAGATGCAGTGTTTCTGGAAGCTCAAGGTGGCCCTATGTTTATGGTTCCAAACAACGTTACAAAAATCACGCCACAAAGAGAAAGCGATGTTTGGGTTGTTAATCTTGGCACGAAACCACTCACCCTTAAAAAATGGTAAGAAGCTAGGTGATGTTTATAGTGTGTCAGAAAGAGAAGTTGGCACTAGTGATGGTGGTGAAGATGGCTCTCCACTTCTAGTCGAGGAATCCCTAGGGTTGCCGGGCCTTTCACAGGTTGAGGAATCCCTGGTCGAGCCAGAAGACTTTGAGCACCCATCCTTAGAAGAGGAAGATTTTGATTGTGCTTATGGCCTCTATGATTTTGGGTATTAGGATGAGTATTTCACCATCTTCCCTGATGTTGACCTCTCTCCATCAGCCGCCTGTGCAGTAACTACACATAGTAACCAAACAAAAATTGTAGGTCATG